CATCCACAGGGAGCTGATAAGACGTTTTGTGTTCTATCTGTAAACATTTTGAGCTACTACTCACAAGATGAGTATGGGGCGCACAATAAACTATCAATCAGAATGAGTATGGGGGCGCACAATAAACTACCATTCAGGATGAGTATGGGGGCGCACAATAAACTACCATTCAGGATGAGTATGGGGCGCACAATAAACTACCAATTAGGATGAAAATGGGGCGCGCAATGACGGTTTGAGTAAACCAAGTAACAAACAATATTGTAACGAATTGAGTGTACATAAAAATACGAAAGCACATATAAAATATGTCTGTACAAGTTCAAGTATGTTTATTGAGACAAGAAAGAAATACATCTCAAAGGGATAGAGTAGCTTAGGCTATTTCTACCCCCCCAATATGTCTGTAGGTACATTGTACCAACTCCTGAAGTGTGAGATGCTCCTCAGAGCACTTGTGTGTACGGAAAAGGTAGACATAATAGCACTCGCTGAAACATGGTTTGAATATCGACTCGATGGATCTACTGGTCGAGTACGAGATCAATGGACATACTATACTGGTCGAGTACCAGCAATACCCAATGGTCGAGCACCAGATCAAGAGACTTGCGGGTCAATATCAGATTAAGATCAAGGGGGACCATGCAGCAGATCCCTTGATCTGGTAGAAAAATAATCTTGTCATCTATACGAAAGAAGATCTGAAGTGCATTGAGAGATCAAATCAGAAACTCTCGCAGTAGCCATATGGGTAGAAGTGAATGAGGGAAATCATGAACTCCTCACTGGAGTTATATTCAGGCCCTTGATCTAAATGAATCGGATTGTAATCCTGAGTGGGTATAACATATATATATACCCACTCAGGATGGGTATATGGGCCCCATACCCATCCTGTGATCGATAATGAAAAGGGTTACAGAGGCACATAATGGGGCTCAGGGACTGAACCCCACAATTCATTTAGCTAAGCAAGTTACAATCTTGATGAGCTAGTTACAAAATTCAGAGATCTATCGTTTATACAGTAATTTCAAAAACATTTTTACCTGATGTTGAAGATGCTTTATTAATTATTGATAATGTTATGCAAGATATTTGCAAATTTCCCTCTCGTTAGTAAAGGGTGTGCGGCTCGCTTCTCTCAGATTACATCATCACTGTATCCCGTCACACACCATCTGTCGCTGCAGCTACATCATCCGGTTATGTTTGTCACAGCGGTGACATTATACACATGTCATAACAGGATATCCTTCATTAGGAAACAGCTGCGACGCTGCTTATTGCTTTCTACCACTATAGCTGCACTCAGGCTCCCCACTGACACCACAGCTACACTCAGGCTCCCCACTGACACTACAGCTGCACTCAGGCTCCCCACTGAACACTACAGCTACACTCAGGCTCCCCACTGACACTACAGCTGCACTCAGGCTCCCCACTGACACTACAGCTGCACTCAGGCTCCCCACTGACACTACAGCTACACTCAGGCTCCCCACTGACACTACAGCTGCACTCAGGCTTCCCACTGACACTACAGCTGCACTCAGGCTCCCCACTGACACTACAGCTACACTCAGGCTCCCCACTGACACTACAGCTCCCCACTGACCACTACAGCTGCACTCAGGCTCCCCACTGACCACTGTAGCTACATTCAGGCTCCCCACTGACCACTGTGGCTACACTCAGGCTCCCCACTGACCACTGTGGCTACACTCAGGCTCCCCACTGACCACTGTGGCTACACTCAGGCTCCCCACTGACCACTGTGGCTACACTCAGGCTCCCCACTGACCACTGTGGCTACACTCAGGCTCCCCACTAACCACTGTGGCTACACTCAGGCTCCCCACTGACCACTGTAGCTACATTCAGGCTCCCCACTGACCACTGTGGCTACACTCAGGCTCCCCACTGACCACTGTGGCTACACTCAGGCTCCCCACTGACCACTGTAGCTACATTCAGGCTCCCCACTGACCACTGTAGCTACATTCAGGCTCCCCACTGACCACTGTGGCTACATTCAGGCTCCCCACTGACCACTGTAGCTACACTCAGGCTCCCCACTGACCACTGTGGCTACACTCAGGCTCCCCACTGACCACTGTAGCTACACTGAGTTTACTACCTTGTGCTTCAAACTCACACTGTATCTTGTACTACCCCACTTCCTCAATATTAGTACTGTACTGTACTTAAGACATATATCCTTAACAGTGTAATCACCTCTGTTAACTAACATTTTAGTTATTTGTAGCAAAATTTTATATCAACAATATTCCTTTTCATGTTACCTGATATGTTGAATAAGCATTTTGATTTGATTTGATTTAGATTAAGGACCTGCCCAAAATGCAATGCATGTTAGTGGTTTTGCATGAATGTAAAAAATACTGTACTATAATCATCACCTGTTAATTAGCACTCCAGCTTTTTTGTGAGTTTTTAATTTTTTATTTTTTATTTATTTATATATACAAGAGTTATAAATAATACATTCTTGTTAATAATACAGTTCTTACATTCTTGTACAGCCACTAGTATGCGTAGCATTTTGGGCAAGTTTTGTATAGTTTTTCATTTATTCCAGAATGAAGATGCACACGAGTTTCTGGGGTGCAACTTTATTGCTGTTGTTTGCACTGGGTGTCAGAGGACAGTCCAGAGCCAAGCTGGTGAATAATGGATATGAGGATGTGGTTGTGGCCATTTCTCAGGAAGTGGATGAAATGGATGGACCCGACATTATTGCATCTATTAAGGTAATTTTGTGCAAACTTATACAGTAATTTAATTGTATTCATTTGGTCACCTCATTTCCTGAACCTCTGGTATAGATAATCATCAAATAATCCGTGAAATTTGTTTTCTCTTTCATTTTTTGCCACTTCTATCTAGACACCTCTGCTTGCTCTGTTCTCTGGAATTCTTATTGTCTGGTTCTCTGATAATTAATTTTACCCAAATACACTTTGGAACTGATCGTTAGTGTTTCACACATTTTCTTTTCATTTCCCATGAATCTGTTTCCCATTTTCAACCTATGAATTTTATCCTTTACTTGCAATTTGCTTTTAATGAATTTATAGAATAGGCCTGGTTCTGTTTTACATTTGTCTGCTATCCTTTTCTCAAAATGTTTGTCTGCCACTCTTCTCACTCCCATATACCATAGTTGTTTTTTGCTTATTTGTATTGCTGGTATATTTGAGGGTTTGGCCTCTAACTATATTCATTCCATTTTTGTCTCTTTTGGTCTCTGGCCCTCTCGCAATTTCTGTTGAATCAATTCTGCATTCTAGTCATACATCTGTTTTGACATACATTTTGTTTTTGTGCCTTTATCATATATTTCACAAAACTTAACATATATATGTCCTTGCCTAACAGCAAGTTTTTTGTGCTGGCCTTTTTATGATTTTCCCCTTTGATGGCACTGTTGGGGGGCATTTGGCCCATTTTGAGAGCTCCTAGGTCCCACAATATGTTGGCCTTTTGGATTATCTCACTTGACTTGCGGTGGAGTTGATCGGTCCCTCTCCCTCCGTGTCCCTCTTTTGGTGTTGGTGCTTATGTGCCAGGATTCCTGTTTTCTACATTAAGTCAATGTAGGTTGACTGGACTGGGGCCTAGTTGAAATGACCTCAAACCTTCAGTGGGTTTCCCAGCTGTTCCTGGTCCTGAAGCGGGACTTAAGGGTGACTGATGTGACCTTTCAGTATGGAGTAATCTCAGTATGATCTTCCAGAAAAGCTAACCAAACCAAAAGGAATAGTCAAACTTTTGCTTTCAAAGAAAAGAAAATGTTATTCATTTGTATTAGTCTTTAGTTTGTCCCCATCAATACTAAGATGGAGATCTGATCTCCATCTCGAGCTGATCTCATTAAGACTTTCAAAATATTGAATAAATTAGAGGATATTAATCCAGAACTCTTCAGAAGGTAAAATGTAATGCATACAAGAGGTAACAGCTTCAGGCTCAACAAGCCATAATGTAGGAGAGAGAACATGCTTTTTCACCCATAGGGTTATAAACTATTGGAACTGCCTACCCAAGAAGCTGTAATGTCAAGACATTACTCAAGTTCAAAATCTAGTTGGAAAAGTTCCTCAGGACATGTAGGGGGACTTTTAACAAGTCACCTGCTACTTGTCCCCATTGATGCCATAATAATGACCCTCAGGTAAATTCAGGTAAATAGTATGTTATTAGTCATGCCTCCACTATGTCTTCTGCTCATCTTGCGTCATTCCTGTTTCTCCTTCCTTCTGGTCCACTTGTTTATCTGTGTACATTAATTTGTAAATAAAGCAGTTTGCATTATTACTAAATTATTATGTAGACTGCAATCTCTTCACTCAGTCGTTGATTTATCTTGATGAAAAATGTTGATTCAAGTTTAAGATTTTAGCTTACTTATGGACCATTTCTTACAGGGTTTGTTTAGACCTGTCTTAAATGTTTGCTTGGACCTTTGTCTGAAAAAGTTTGTTTGTATCTGTTAGAAAGGTTTAAGCTTTGCACATTAAAAGATATATAATGTGTGGCTTCGTGTCTATTTCCACACTTTAGTATATCACTTCACATATTTAGAGGCAATTCTGAAATTGGCCAGGATACTTTTGTAAATATGAATTATTATTACTGTACTGTATACGCAGACTAACTGTTATGATCTTTTCTAAATATTTAGTGGGTTTGTAATTGAGGACAATGGGTAATGTTCCCAATCCAGTTAATCATCAGCAGTGAAGTGTTTATGATTTGCTACATGGATAAAATAGTCCTTCAGGTAACCATCATATATGCTTATGTCACATTTGTTCATTCACAGGAAATGATCCAAGAGTCATCAAGGAGACTGTACAGAGCAACACACACTCGGGCATATTTTCGCTCAGTGAAGATCCTTATTCCTAAATCTTGGACCAATACTAGTGTTATTGGTAATGCCCTCAGTGAAAATTTCCAAGTAAGATATAATTTTAGATTACATAACATCTAAAAAGGGAGAATATGCAATTATTTATACAGTGTTAATATAAATTTAAACCTTGCATTCAATTCATTAATTTGTTTGTGAAAATAAATGTGTGCTTAAAAGAATGAAGAGTAATAAGCCAAGCTCAATATATTGGTGCTTTGCAGAATAGTGATATTAGAGTGGACATCATGAACAGTGTGTACAAGAACCAGCCATATACACACCAAAGTGGTGGTTGTGGTGACCCTGGCCTGTATATCCATCTCACTCCAGAGTACCTCATAGATCGAGCCCAAGCTGCCTGGTGGGGGCCTCGCGGTGCGTTTATAAATTTGCAATGCATAATCGTATTCTTTATTACAATATTTGTCATTATATTTCTTAAAAAGATGATGAAAATTTTCATGACATTATCTGTGACAGGTAAGGTACTACTGCTGGAATGGGCCAAGTACAGGTGGGGTGTGTTTGATGAACTGGGATATCCTGGTGATGAAAGCTTCCCACTCTTCTATGTCTGGGATGAAAACACTAGTGGAGTTCCAGGTGGTGGGACTATACTTCCCACCTACTGTGCCAACATACCAGTGGAAGGACGTCGTATGTAAGCAAAGTATCCACTACCCATATGTAGGGAAACACTCAGAGGAGTAGGGTCAGGTCAAGTGATCTAAGGAGATTGGTATATGCTGCAAATAATCACATTTACTGTATTTATTGCTGCATAATTAATCTGCTGTTAACAAAATGCTCATTAAGTGATATTTTCACAGAATTATACTGTTATTTTTCACTTAGTACAGGATCATACTCAACTGTTACCATCTATTTTTTATTGTGATTATTTTTCAGCAGCTTTGTTTCCAGGCAATACAGAATATTAAGAATACATCTATATATTGCTATGACAGTATTAGTGGCCCCTTGTGCCTGTTTTTTAGAATCAATGCTTTTCCAGTGAGGTTGGATCTGTTTCTAAAAATACTTTTTATTTATACTTTAGATGGTACAGCAGCAAAAGTCTTCTGTCTCTTGTTTAGAGGCTGATAGCTGACCCTACAATAGCTTATTTTAAAGCCTTGCCCTACATGTTTTCCTCAGAACACAATCTACCAATCATTCTACATCCATATTCCTCAATTACTGCTGGGTGCACACAGGTGCGCAGGTAAATAAGTAAACACCTTTGCACCTTTCCAAGTTTATTGCTGTGTATGTGCTTCTTGAGATGTGGGACCATAAAACCACTGTATATTCTAATTTTGGTCTACTGAAGATTGTGAACAAATTCTTTAATATTTCACCATCCATGTATTTAAAAGCAATGCTGAAGTTAGAAAGCATAGCATATGCTTAGGTTAAAGTTTTCTATCCAGGACCACCTCTAGATCTCTTTATAATAGTTCTTTAAAGCTTTTCACATAATTTGTATGTCATGTTTGACCTGTTTTCTCCAATTACACATTCCATAATGTGGCATTTATTCACATGAAATTCCATCAGCCAAGTGTTGCTCATCTCTGTAACCTGAATGAATTCAGTTCATCATTTTTGAGTGAGTGACGAAGCCTATGCACATCACATCCCCATTTTCATTTAAGACTTCATGTGATTATATAAAAATTGCACTTGGGAGTAGGGTTACAGGCTCATATTTCTTAAAGCCTTTAACTTCGGTCTATCTCGACCAGCCTATGTCTGTCCTATACCAGAACCCCACAGACTTTGGCAGAAAAGAGACGGCAACTAACGAAAGTAACGCCCACTGGGGCCAAATGAACAAAAGCCCTGCCTCTGGAGAAGAGCATGAAGCCCTTCAATCCTACACCCAGGTTGGGAAGAATGCTCCAACAGGAAAAGAGCCTTAGAAAAAGAATCCTGAACAATACGGGATACTGTAAACCATGGAGAAGAAATAAAGGAGAGAATACGGTCCAAAGACAAAGCGGGTTCCAGCAGTTCATGAACGGGCCAGAGGTGAAACAATGCACAAGACAGCGTCCTAAAAGAGCGCCAAGGAAGTTTTGATGCCCAACGCAAACAACAGTGGCTGACTGTCTGTCAGCGCTGAACATGGAGGCAATAGTATTCAGTATGAGATACCGATCAAGAAACAACCAAGAAGTGACAAAAGCCTTTCATGAAAAAAAAAACATGCTTTTGTTTTGTTTTTAACACTGGGTGTCAACCAACAAAGCTGAGAGGTGAACATAGAAGCCAGGCACACTGCACATGAGGAGAAAGAAAGAGAAAATGTTGATAAAACCAGAGTGGAATTCACCAGCACCCAAATTCTGGGTCCTTAAACACAAGACATCGCAACTGGGCACACAACTGAGAGGGCTGGAGGCAAGCAAAGCAAACCTGCTAAGTGGAAGCTGCTTGATTTGCTTCAACGCCATCAGGCAGGTCCAACAGAAGAGCCACATGGAAAGAGCATGCTCTGAAGAAAACAGAATAGGGCAAGATTTAAAATTAGCTGTGCAAAGGAGAGCACTTTGCATACAAAGAAGAATCAGAAGCCTTCTATTTCTGTACTCTTGCAAGTGTAAAAGGAGAATGAAAAAAAGATACATACAGTATATGAATCTCCTGTAGTTATATACATAATGAGCAACATGTTTTTTCTATTTTTTTTTTAATTACAGAGACAAGAGAGGGAGGAGTATATGTTCACTAACACCCCAAGGAGAACCTGATAAAGACTGCCGGTTTCTGCCATACAGAGACCAGCGCGCAACCTCCTCACTTATGTCGTACCCACTCATCTTCAGTGATACGGTGAGAGCATCCTAACTTTTGCACTTCCCAAATGTTTCCAGACATCTACAGTTATGTGTGTAAATTGAAGAAAAAAGTTTTTAATAGTTCTGTTTGTAGAAGTGATAAAAAGTTATTTGAAGAGAACAGAACAGAAATAATGTAAAATTACCTCACCTTACCTTACCTTATATCTTACCATAATGTTGGTATGATGCATTAATACCAAAGAATCTCGCAAAATGAAAGGGTTCATTCAAACCTGGGTAAGAAACACCCTTCTTGTGCACATGTGCAGAGCAGCCAGCCATTGGAGTCCCAGCTCCAATCCAGCTTTGTTCTGTCACTAATGCAGCCTCAGCTGCTATTCCCTATTACTGGTCTTAGCAAGTCCCACTTCTTTTTGAAGATAAGTGATGGTCATTCTTTGGACTTTGTCCTTTGGGGCCATTTGCTTGTGTTCATTTCTAACATTTTTGTTTCTGTGGAGAGCCCTGTTCAGCTCACTGAAGCTATCAAACTGATTAAGTTCCATACTACCAGGTGTCATCAGTTGCAAAGTTCTATTGGCCTACCGGCCAATAACCATGCAGTTATCCGTTTTGATTTGCCTATCTTTCTGGGTGCCTTCTCTTGGATGGTGGCAAGATGATAAAAACGTTGAAGGAATGTGTTAATAGGCCATCGCTCCCTGAGCCCCTCTGAGGGGACCAGGCTCATGGTCCCCAGTAGACCAATAAAACTCTGTGACTGATGACACCTAGTAGTATGGCATTTAATCAGTGCGATAGCTTCAGGGAGCGTCCGAGGCTCACCTAGAACCTGGTGTTTCATTACATTCAACAATGTTCTTTTTCAACAATAGCAATTTTTATTGAGGAAATGCTAACAGTAATTTGTTGTTATAATTGTAATAATTTACAATACAAAAGATTTAGCAGATTTTTCCACTCATTTGGACTTGATCCGACTATGTTCACACATCAGCCGTGCAGTGGCCAACAGCTGGTTTAATCGTTGGTGCAACACTGACTTGGAATTGGAATGCAATTACATAATTCAAAAGATTCAGTACAGTACTTTGCACACTGCATAAAACATTTAGGCATTTTAGTGGGTAAGAAGGCTACACAGCTTCTCAAGGAGAGGGAAGAGATTTTTTTTAATACAGTACCTGTACTGTATCATTCAATACAGACATTACTGTACAAATACAGCAGTGTTGTAATTAACTGTAGTTATTTTATTATTTATAAAGCTATTGCATTTTATTGCCAATTAAAGTACTACAGTATATACTCTATAAATTTAATATCATTTTTTTTTTAAGAAAAACATATTTTAATGGCCTGAATATTACTCAAAATATTACCGACATTTCAACAATTCCAGATTTAGATGTTAAAATGAGCCCCACATTTAGTGATCTGGGTACTGCCCTATATAGGTTATTAAATCGAGTGGATACTGTAACTCGTGCTAGCTTCACAATTTTTTCATCATTTGTTTAAATTGTTGGGGGGAGTTCTTTTGGCTTTTGAGGCTGTGGTATAGTTTTCTAACCAAGCACTGGGCTGTTTTGTTTCGCTGACTTTCTGGGTGCGTTCCCTTGGTGGTGGCTGACATGAATCAATTTAAATTGTAAATTTTTTCGTGGCTCATCCAGAAAATGGCATTTCATTGCATTCAATGCTGGTTTTCTAAGTACTGTACTGTAGTTGAGAGGCATTACGTTTCAAGTAAGCACAGTTAGTTTAAAGTGGCCGACGTTTCATACTATTTACTATGTAACATTGGATGCTTTCAGCCAATGGTGCCCATTGGGTTATTAATGTAGTACCAGTGAATATATGTAGCAAAATGAATAGTATATATAATTGTATAATGTATTTACATAGTTTTTTCTATGAATTGGTATCCAGGTTGTAGATTTCTGTAGTGGACCAGATAGTGACCATCCCCACAATGCTGTGGCTCCAACAAAGCAAAATCTTTTCTGTGGTGGCCGCTCTGTATGGGACATCATGATGATGCATGAAGACTTTGCAAATAATGCGTGAGTCTGCACATTTTATTAACTGCTTCCAGGTCTAGTTCTCTGGCATGAATACCCATTATTTTAGAAAAAGGGGGTTTACAAATATCACAACTAGTTGATTCAAACAATTCAGGTAAATTTTATAATGTTGTATCTTGAAAAAAAGTAACATAATATTTTTTTGCCAGGAGTTAGTAATGTCTGAGGTAAGCTTTATAAGTCTTCAAATTTGCAATCTCTCTAAATATCATTAATAGATCAATTGCCAAGATTTCATTGCTATACAAATTCAATAAATTTTGGGAGACTTCCATGACTTGAATTGTTTAGACTTGCTTTTTCTAGAAAGAGCCCCTTGAAGCTATCTTGCTGAGACATTTCCTCACTACTGGTCATAACAGTTGCAGGAGTCCTGTTTGGTCTACCGGAGACCAGAGCGAGAACATGCCCCCCCCCCAACCCTCACATAGGTGCAGAGAACAGGGGATGATTAATGTCACTCACCAGGAAAGCATCCAGAAAGTCAGCAAAGCTTTACAGACAACTGCAAGGTTCATACAAAATGAAGTATCAAAATGATCAAACAACTTCTCAAAAACCAACAATTAAGGTGAAACAAGAGAGAGATTCATACTACAGTAGCATAAACCCTTTAGTACTAATATCCACCACCAGGCAACCCGAAGCCCCGGCCCATGCCTATTCTGCCAAATAGTCCTGTTGTTGATGCGCATGTGTATACGCCATGTAGCTTTCTGGGTGCTCTCTGGTCATCATCTGTTGTGGCAAGTTCCACTGTTTCTAAACCAAGTCTAGTCATCCTTTTGACTGTCCTGTGGAGCCATTTGCTTATGTTCTGTTTCCTTCTCTTATTGCTGTATTTCCTTCAAGTGCACGTTTTCTTTCCAGCATTGTTGTGTGGATTTGGCTTGTTTTGTGCTATGAGCTGCATGCGCTTGGGTATCCTTCCCTCGGTGCTCGAGTAGCGTTGCCCCTGCATTGTCAGATACTTTTCTGACGTGTTCGGAAGTTCGCCTGAGAAGCCTGGCCTCACTGATGGACCTGGCTTTATTCAAGTATCTGTATATATCTGCCTTGGCTTATTGGCTGTGTGATGAGATCCCCGATTCATCCTGGCTGGCTGACAACCCTTTCCTTTCCTTGGGGCCTCAGCATGGATTCTGTCAAACCCGAATGCTTGATTGATGGGAAGTGAGTTCTGTCTTCAGCTGTTCTTGGGCAGCACTCCTAATGTTGCTGCTGTCTGTTGCTTTTTAAAAGCTAATTGCTTGTAAATTCATTGATGGTGAAATGCTAATGAAATTGTTCATGAGCATTGTGAGACCAAAGCTAGAATATGCATCGGTTGTATGATGCCCATATCTTAAGAAGCACATCAACAAACTGGAAAAGGTGCAAAGAAATGCAACTAAATGGCACCCGGAACTGAAAGACAAGAGCTACGAGGAGAGGTTAGAGGCATTAAATATGCCAAAACTAGAAGAAAACTAAGAGGTCATAGATTTAAGCTAACTAAACAAAGCTGACGAAGAAAAATAAGAAAATTCACTTTCGCAAATGAAGTGGTAGACGGTTAGAACAAGTTAAGTGAGAAGGTGGTGGAGGCCAAAACTGTTAGTAGTTTCAAAGAGTTATATCCGTGCAGTCTCCGTGGTGTAGTGGTAAGACACTCGCCTGGCGTTCCGCGAGCGCTATGTCATGGGTTCGTATCCTGGCCGGGGAGGATTTGCTGGGCGCAATTCCTTAACTGTAGCCTCTGTTTAACGCAACAGTAAAATGTGTACTTGGATGAAAAAACGATTCTTCGCGGCAGGGGATCGTATTCCAGGGACCATAGGATTAAGGACTTGCCCGAAACGCTGCGCGTACTAGTGGCTGTACAAGAATGTAACAACTCTTGTATATATCTCAAAAAAAAAAAAAAAATATAACAAAAAGTGCTGGGAAGATGGGACACCACGAGCATAGCTCTTATCCTGCAGCTACACTTAGGTAATTACAGTAGGACAGCAGTGACCAGACTGACCTGAAACTACCCGGTTAGTGGTCATTCGCACTTGGGGCATTTGAGCTGGTTTTGAATGAACCATTTGTTTTGAGTGAATCATTTATAAGAGTCATTTGCTGTTTCTGTGTTTTGTTTCCTGTGAACTTTGCAGATGTCTATATTTCTTTACATCCTTTCTGGATGCTTTCTCGGTGCAGTTGATTGTAACAATCCCCAGCCTCTTGCACTTCTATGATGATGCTAGGCTGTCATCCATGGTAGGCCAAACAGAACTCCTATGACTAATGAAACTAGTGGAAAGCTGTATCACCTAGATTGCTTCAAGGAGCCATCAAGGGGCTCCCCTCGGAAAATGTGTTTAGCTGGATCCAAGTAAATGCACACAAGACATAATCATATTACTACCCACAGTTCTGCCATCTGTTGACCATAAGATGAATGCCTTTGGCTTGAGGAACTTCTCTGAAACATCCTTTCATTCATTATCATCTCCGTCTTTTATTAAGTCTCTTAATAACATTCTTTCCTTTCATTATACTTCACCTCTCCTACCACACTCCACCCACTTGTACTGTAACTCTTATTTTACATTCCATATTCAGATTTTGATCTAAAACTGCTCCCAAATGTTTAAAACTTACAACCATTTTTCCTTCATTTGTACCCTAAAGTTCAAATCATTCTGCCTTGCCTATCTGTAAAATGTACAAAATACACAGTACTCCATTATCTTCTCTCAAACACACAAATTCAATGTTTTCCTATGAAGCATGACCTTCAACTTTCTTCATTTACACTCAAACTCATTAAATTAATTACTGCTTACTCTTGGCAAAGATAGCTGCATCATCTGTATACAAACATTTCTATAACAGCAATTTATCAGTGCCACTCTGGCTCCAGGTGTTCTTGCCTTTACCTTTTTAACCCATCCATATATTTAATTAAAATTATTTATTGAATTATTCATTTAATTCAAATTACTATCTGTTGTTCTGTTGCATTTTCTGCTGTTCCACTCTACATGTAATTACAGTATTTTCATTTTTTTTTATACTTCAGTTCAATTCATGCCTTTGATCTCGGTTTTAAGTCTTAGTTTTTAAGTTGATTTTTCCACATCTTGCTTGAAACGCTGTGTCTACTAGTGGCTTTAGGCATAGTATATATTTGCTTTATCTAGAATTCCAACATTCTGCTTGTAACTCATTTTGTATGTATGTACTTTTTCCTAAATAACATTATCTTAACTTATCTTATCTAATCTTTACCTGAATATACCTGAGAGCCATCATCTCTAGTGGCCTCGACAGGGACTGTAAGCAGGTAGTTTTTGAAAAGTTCCATCTTTTTCACTGCTAAAGCAATTGCAACCACCTCGTAAAAATGATGGAAAATTTGATAGATAGCTTCCGTTCAGGTACCTCATCAGCCCTTTTTTAAATGATGTAATGCTCAACTGGTCTCCAGACCTTTAAATCAGGCAATGGAATCTGGTGTATAGGCATACACAATGTAATATATACCTGTACACTTTTATTGCACAAAACACAGTTAGTAGCACAACTGAATGGAAGTCTCCTTCACTGTAATGTCATCCAGAACTATGTTTAATGATTGACGAGAAGAATCAAATTGTGATTTATCAATAATTGCAGGCTACTGGTATACTATAGCATAATCACATAGTAAGCAATTAAAAAAAAAATGAGAATATTTTTCTAGGCCCATTACATCCATAATGTATTACATATAACCATACAGTATTTATATCAATTGTATACAAAATGGGTGATAATAAACAAAATAAAAATGTTATAATACACTGATCCCCAGAGAAACAAGGTTATGATGATAGCCACACTTTAAGGGTTCAGTGTTAACCACAAACGTAAACAAATTGATCAAATATCTGCTTTCCTCTATACTACATCAAGAATTTTATTAGAAAGGAAATTACCCCAGATGTGAAAGGAACATTAAGGCAATGTTGAATGACCCCTGTTTAAGACCTGATGTAACTGAAAATAAATTAAATAACTTTTGTAACTGAAGATAATCTCCAAGATTATAAGACACAATCTTGTCAAATTATTAGTGTGAAGTTTCCAGGCCAGATCATGTGTGAATATGATGTTTAGCTAAAATATGATGGAAGACTAAGGTTTGATATACAAATTGTTTTAAATAAAGCTGGTAATTGGCAGGAATATTATTTATTATTATTGGTAAAACTGTTTTATTAGAGTTAAATTAAAGAATATGACTGCAAAGTGAACAATTCAGAAAGACTGTAACAGAGACGAGAGAAGAGCGCAAAGTTAAATCATTAAGAGAAGAATGGTTAACATTAGATAATGAGTGGATAGATATTATTGTTTATCCTGAACCTTGGCTTCCTGTAATGCTCTCCTGGCTTTTCTTTCTGATTCCTTGTTCTGCTCAGGCATTTGCCTTGTTGGTGCAACCATGGCACAAAGCCCCCCCCCCCTAGAAGAAGCCCTGTTTAGGCATATCTTTTTAACTTTATCAATTTACTGGTGCTTTTGTGAACTTTTTCTTCTCTGAACCTTCTTCCCTTCCAAGGTCATGGTTGCTCTCCCATCATTTTAACTATATCTTCTGTAAATTCCAGTCTTGCCATAGAAGTTTTAAATTTGCAAAATATTGTAACTACCTAAAATTGCATTATTGGTGAGAATGATATTCAGTTTGTCACAGAATTAATTTAAATATTTTACAGAATTTGCATTTTTTTTACTATGTATAAATACAAAAAGGCCAACTTCTTTATTCTTAAGATTTTATTATTAATTTTTGTAGGAATCCTCCAACGGAACGGTACATGGATCCTGAAATACAAGTAATACAACACGCCGATGCCAATTATGCTTTGGTACTTGACTACTCAGGCAGTATGAATGACCATTATCGTATACACAAGCTTCGGAAAACAGCTCGACGTTGGATCTTACATGAAGTGACTGAAGGCAGTTATGTGGCAATTATAAAATTTAGGCATGTCTTACAATAATTTATAATATGTCAGCATATATCTTTTTTTTTACACAGCTGGGTACAGGAAACGGTAACAGGACCAGGTGGGTTCAGGAACCCAACATCCAACAACACTCCTGGCGCATTTTTGGCCATTTATAATTGTAAACTCTACAACGCTTCATGGGTCAGAGTTTACAGTTGTACATTGGCTTGCAAACCACTGAAGCTTTACACACACTCTTGATACTCAGTGCAGCTTTAGCATGTTTAAGTGATTTGGGGAAATAACTGCACCCAACTATATGCCAGGGGTGTTGTTGTTTGTTGGGGTGCATATTGGTCACACGGCTTCCCAGCACATTCAGACAATTGTTGGCTGAGTGGTTATAGTACTGAACTGCCGAAGGCATAGTATCCTGGTGACCAGGTTCAAATCCTTCAAATCAAATAAATAATGTCATACCTAATAGCCAGAATGCACTACTTGGCCTAGTATGCAAGGCCCAAGTTGCCTAACAAGGCAGTGAGTTTTGTTATTTCCAAAAATTTCTTTCATATTGGTTTATTTGAGTTAATATTATGAACATTAATTACTAAGTTATGTTAGGTTTGGATAGTTTAGGGTAAGTTAGGTTTGGTTATTTTTCTACATTAGTTTTAACTCAAATAAAAAATAAATAAAATCATATGTAATATAATGGAAAGCTTTCAATCCATAAGAAAAAATTAGAAAGATAAAAAAAATCAGGGAAACTCAGCTTGTTAGGCAAATCAGGCCTTGCATACTAAGCCAAGTAGGTAAAGGATAATATCCATAAGGTTGAAAATGGGAAACAGATTCACAGAAAATGTAAAGGAAATGTGTGAAACATTAAACAAAAAGTTCCAAAGTGTGTTTGTACAAAATGAAATCTTCACAGAACTAGACAAAATAAGAATTTCAGAGAACAACATAGAGCACATAGAGGTATCTAAAGATGAAGTGGAAAATATGCTCAAGGAGCTAAGTAAGAACTAGGCAGTTGGTCCAGATGGAGTTTCACCATGGATTCTGAGAGAATGTGCATCTGAGCTCAGCATTCCACTGCTCCTGACTTTTTCAGGCATCCCTGTGTACAGGAGTCGTAGCAGACGCATGGAAAATGGCAAACCTAGTTCCAATCTACAAAAGTGGCAGCAGGGAAGACCCCCTCAATTATAGACCTGTATCGTTTACAAGTGTAATAATCAAAATATTGGAAAAAATAATTAAAACTAAATGGGTAGAACACCTGGAGACAAATGATATTTTATCAGATCGTCAGTATGGTTTTCGATCTGGAAGATCCTGTGTAACAAATTTACTCAGTTTCTATGATGGAGCCACAGAGATTTTACAGGAAAGGGATGGTTGGGTTGACATCTATCTAGACTTACAAAAGGCTTTCAACAGAGTTCCACATAAGAGGTTGTTCTGGAAACTGAAACACATTGAAGGGGTGACAGGTAAACTGCTAACATGGATGAAAATTTTTCTACTGATAGCAAAATGAGGGCAGTAATAAGAGGAAGTACTGTATATCGGACTGGAGAAATGTCACAAGCAGAGTACCACAGGGTTCATTTCTTGCGCTGGTAATGTTCATTGTCTACTTAACGATCTACCAGATGGAATGCAAAATTATATGAACATGTTTGCTGATGATGCTAAGGTAATAGGAATGATAAGTAACTTAGATGATTGTCAACCCCTTCAAGAAGACCTGGACAGAATAAGTATATGGAGCACCACTTGGCAAATAGAATTTAATGATAAATAGATGCCATGTTATGGAATGTGAAATAGGAGAACATAGACCCCACACAACCTATAAATTATGTGGGAAATCTTTGAAGAAGTCTGATAAAAAAAGGGATCTAGATGTGGTTCTAGATAGAAAACTATCACCTGAGGATCACATTAAGAACACTGTGCAAGGGGCCTATGCTACACTTTCTAACTTCAGAATTGCTTTTAAATACATGGATGACGAAATACTAAAGATCACAACTATTGTTAGACCAAAGCTGGAATATGCAGCAGTTGTATTGTGCCCATATCTAAAAAAGCACATCAACAAACTGGAAAAGGTGCAAAGACATGCTACTAAGTGGCTCCCAGAACTGAAGGATAAGAGCTACGAGGAGAGGTTAGAGACATTAAATATGGCAAAACTAGAAGACAGATGAAAAAGAGGCGATATGATCACTACGTACAAAATAGTAACAGGAATCTATAAAATTGATAGGGAAGAATTCCTAAGACCTAGAACTTCAAGAACAAGAGGTCATACCTGGTTGATATCTGGTTGATGGGGTTCTGGGAGTTCTTCTACTCCCCAAGCCCGGCCCGAGGCCAGACTTGACTTGTGAGAGTTTGGTTAGATTTAAATTTAGATTTAAACTAACGAAACAAAGCTGTCGGAGAAATATAAGAAAATTCACTTTTGTAAACAAAGTGGTAGACGGTTGGAACAAGTTAGGTGAGAAGGTGGTGGAGGCCAAAACCGTCAGTAATTTCAAAGCGGTATATGACGAAGAGTGCTGGGGTGACGGGACACCAAGAGCGTAGCTCTCGTCCTGTAACTACACTTAGGTAATTACACACATACACATACAAACATACATATATATATATATATTGTATATATTTTACAGTTTAATAATAATAAATATTTCTGATACAGCAAAAGGGCCAGTCTGGTACACCGGTTATCACAAATCACAGATGAAGCCTCAAGAAAAACTCTTGCAGACTCAATTGAGACTAAAGCAGATGGTGGGACTAGTATTGGAGCTGGGCTTTATGTGGCAGTTAAGAAGGTAGGAAGATTGAAAATGTGTTCGCGTAATAAAACATTTGTTACAGATTTTACATGATGCCAACATTGGCTATACTGTAATTGCTTTAATGGAGACAGAACAGTCTGCAAGTTGTGTAGAATTTTTATTTTTATTTGACAAGTTTTTAAAGTTAGAATTTTGATGATGAGCATTTTTCTTATTTCATCAGTTTCAGCAGGTTAACTGTGAGTGCTTGATTGGGACTTATATAAGAAGAGACATTTTCTGCAGTCATCAGTTCTCCATGCTAGCATGGCAAGCTTAAATTTGTGGTTTCTTCTTTGTCACGTTAGACATCTTGAAATAGTTGTCAGAATTGGTATTTTGTCTCGTACATGAAGTATTGAATGGTTTGACTTCCCTCATACATTATACTTCTTCTCTTCACTTCTGTTTGTGCCTGAATATTTCTAATTTCTACTTTTTATTATTATTATTATTATTATTATTATTATTATTATTATTATTATTATATATTATATATATATATATATATATATATATATATATATATATATATATATATATATATATATATATATATATATATATATATATATATATATATATATATATATATATATATATATAATATATATATTATATATATATATATATATTTATTGACCAGTGGGAACGCTCGTCAGTCGAGACATCAGTACAGCCACTAGCACGCACTGCATTTCGGGCAAGTCCTTAATCCTAATATTCACTGGAAAACGACCCCACCAAATTGTTTAACAACGTTAAACGTCAAATTGTTTAATATAATAATTTGTATTTATTTTCCCGACATCAGAAATAAATGTTTTACAGTATGATATAAAAAAAGAAGAGAAATTTTTAGATTTTTTTTTATGCACACCAAGAAAAAACCTAAAAACAGTTGTACAGGTAAAGGGTTAATATTCCATTTTATATTTTCAGATCCTGGCTAATGTGAAGAACCCTGTTATCCTGCTGATTACTGATGGTGAGGAAAATGAGAATCCCAGAATTAAAGATGTCCTACAGAATGTCCTGGACTCGGGTGTGCGCGTCATTACAGTAGCTTTTGGGTGAATACAGTATTCATTTTTCGGCTATATTACATATTACAAGATTACATATTATTTCCTGGGGGAGTCTCTTGTGACTCCCTAAAGCTACTATATTGATATAGTACTAGACTTCAGGTGCCATCAGTGGTGGAATTTTTATAAGCCTTCTGGGGATCACGAGCCAGAACCTGGCCCCCCCCCCCCCTCAGAGAAATGCAGGGAGCAGTGACACTATGAAAAATTTAATGTAAATTTATTCATGTTTGCCACCACAAACGGAAGACACTCAGTTACCAAAACAAAACAAACTACTGCTTGGTTAGAAATGAGACCTCAACCTCCAAACTTCCCAAAAAATTCCCCCAGCAATATAAACAAATGATCGAAAATTCATGAAATTAACTTGCGCTAGTTTGCCCCACCTCCACCCCTCGTATGTGGGGAGGAGGTAGACATACCGGATTAGCTGGCTGCTGCACCACTAGGTCCTATGCTCTTAGGTCTTAGGTCTTAGTCTAGGTCTTAGTCTCCTGTGTCTCAGGCTCCTGTGACTCAGGTTGTCCATAGTGTCATTAAATCTAGCCAGCCTGCTGTCTATACCCTCATGCCCATGATGTTAGGAAATATGCTGCTCTTTCAGCTGTCTTTGGCAATATGTCTTAGGATGATATTCTGGTGCGGGGATTTTGGAGCTCGAACAGAATCCTGGCCGCCAGGTATCTCATGAGCGTCCCGGGCCCTCTGCGGCCTTGTGTTGCTTTGGAACGACTGTCACTGCTGTCTGTCTCTTCCTCGCATTGAAACCTGAAGTGCTGTCACCTTCCGAGTATGTCCCTGTTCTTCCTTCTCTGTGGGTAGTTAGCTTCAAGGAGCTGACAGGGCTCCCACACAGAAAACCAGCATTGAATGTACAGTAATGGAATGTCAGTTTCTGGGAAGCAGTGGAGGCTCCTTAACTCCCCCCCCCTCCCTCCCTCCCTACCTCTCTCCGGTTGGCAGTTTTCATCATTCAAGAACTAGATGGTGGGCATCCAGGCTCATCCAAGCTGGCAACCCCTCCACCCTGTGGGGGGGCTAGTTGAACAAAGTGTTGCTTGTTTGTTTTCTTTGCAGGGGAGTTCTTTTGCTCTTTTGACGATGTCAGTCGCATTTTTAACTAGACAGTGGTCTGTTTTGTTTCACCTACTTTGCTAGGGGCCTTCCCTGGTCAATGGCAAGTATGACATACTTTAAATGTAGTTTATTTACATAAATAAATTTACATAAAATCTTTCATAATGCCACTGCTCCTTGTGCCTCTCTGAAGGGGGGCCAGGTTCTGGCTTGGGATTCCTGGTAGGGCAATAAGAACCCCATGACTGATTGCACCTTGTAGTCTAGAACTATATGGGTATAGTCGCTTCAGGGGGCACCGAGACTCGCCCATAAATTGGTGTATCATTACATTCAATGCTGGTTTTGTAACAAAAGAAATGTTATGGATGCTACAGTATTTCATCAACCTAAAATCATAGCAGTTATGTGTATTATTTGAGTTTTTTTTTTATCTTCTAGGGCAGAAGCTGATCCAAAATTAGAAAAAATTGCAGAGATGACTGGTGGTAAAACATTCACTGTTAATGATATTGATGAGGGCCATATGCTGGAGGATGCCTTTGATGGAGCTCTCACTTACCAGCCGCCACCGCCCCGCAGTAACACCACTGTCACGGTTAGATCACGTTGAATTTTCTTAATTTTCAACTCATGATGTTTCAACTCATCCTTGCGTTTAGACAGTATTTTTTGTAATTATGTGGACCACCATACATATATTGACATAATTGGCAATTAAGTACAGTAGTAGAATTTGGTACTGTTCACTTTATAGTAAAAAAAAAAATAAAGCAAAAAACTAACTTAACACTTTCGCGCTCTCGGCGCTCAAAAAAAAACAATACCCCAGATGCTTTCGGCACTTCGCGCGCCTACGCGGTAAGACCGAAAAAGTGTACACTCTTTTGACTGTCCTGACAACAATTGAAGGCGCACGTATTTAAATTTGGTATCACTGTGTTCGCAATGAAATTGTCTATAAGAGCATACCTATAAAATGCCGTCCAAGCATAAGGAGTATCAACACCAAATAAAAAACTATGCAGATCACTTGCCGAGAGCGCCAAACAGCAACAAAATGTTTCCACTCTCTTAATGGTTGCGAAGCCTACAGTTGTCCTACATCGCAAATTTTGGTATTATTGGAATCGCAATAAAATTCTCTACACGGACATATGCATATGAATGTTTAATATAGGTAATTGCCCACCCGCAAGAGTGTGTGAAGTGGAGAGTAGTTAGCCGCGAGCGCACTGGCGAAAACACAGGGGGGAAATCATGCTTGGAAAGTTTATACGTTTCCTGACCCTACTTTTCTATGTACGTATTTCTTTTTTATACCAATGTGTTCGCAATAAAATTTTCTATAAGATGAACTGTATAACATTTGTACAAAGCATGTGTAAGAGAAGCGCCAAATATAGAACCACGTCGCTCAGTATGCGTTCGTGGCAGAAACGAACGCATTGTTTTCGTTCGTTTGATGTTTGTCATGTTTATACTTGTTGAAACATTTTATAATTTGTATGACAGTGATCGCAGTAAAATTCCCTACACAGACATATACATAACACATACAAATATTTCCCACGTGTTGGATATATCAACGGCTAAAGGGAACCCACTGCCACACGCTCGCCACACCCCCAAACATACTTTGTGTATTTTTTTTTTTACTCATAGAAGTTTATGGGATATAATATTCATTCTGGTAACAAAAACTTCGCAAATAAATTCTCTACAAAACAAAAGTATCCCCATCCATTTCGGTTAAAAAATGGAATTTATAGAAATATTTTTTCGATGGACGAGAAAAGTAGGCTGTTATGCGGAATCGTAAGAAAAAACGGCGACGAGTTATCTCTAATCTAAAGCGCGAAAGTGTTAAATATTCCTAGGCCTAGTATAGTACATATATGTACTATGCAACACAAATGCAAACAAGCTTGAATGGTCCCCAAGGATATATGCAAATGAAAACTCCACACCCCAGAAGTGACTCGAACCTGGACCACCAGGAGCACATTGCAACTGGTGTACACGGTACCTTAAACCACTTGACCGTCAGTACTAATACGGCCTAGTAGTTGATACACAAGTGTTAGTAGCTTTAGGGTGTGCCACAAGGGGCTCTCCCTCAGAAAGTCATGTATTTCCTCATATTTGAATTTCATATTACAGTACTGTACTGTATTGTAATTAAATTCGGGTTTTATCTATTGGCTCCTGAAAGTTTGTTAGAAGAATTTCCTCTAATTAAAGGTTCTTTTCTTACATCTGTACTAGATAAAGTACAAACATTAGAAAAGAACCTAGGCAAAGTACAGCCAGAGAAATGTCAAATTTTGATCATTTTGCCATTTCAATTCTGAATATAATTTTAGTAAAATTGATAATTATCACATGATATATGCCACATATGTCTCAGACAAACCATATTTGTTATATAAAGTAAGCCATCATACAAGGGTTAAGATGTGTTAGTGTTGATGCATTATTTAAACCATAAGAGGTTTTGTAAGTTAAACATAATCTTGATAAGTTTTGACATAAACCATTAATTTTCAGATTCATGAAGAAGTTTACAGAGGCACTGAACGGTATGCTGGTTCAAAATTTAATGTAGACTTTACAATTGGGAAAAACCTGGTTCTGAGATTAGACACTGATGATCGACAACATATTGTTCATGAACCTCATATGGTGCGTCCTGATGGAAATATTGTTGGTGGTGCTGTTTTTGATCCAAATACCTTCACATGGATCCTTACTGTACCATTAGCAGAGGTAAGTACAAAATTAACAGAGTCAGGTCTTTTAAATTTTAAATACTCTAGTATAAATACCCCAGTATATGTACTAAGGACAGACCTTTAGGTGTAAGGCAGACCTTTAAGTGTTAAATGTAATGAAACACCAATTTCTGAGTGAGCTCCAGTGGCTCCCTGATGCTATACACTGAGGTGGTTCCCATCTACCAGGACGCAGTAGCCGTGACATTCTTAGGCTTACCAGGAACCAGAGCCAGAATTTGGTCCCCCCTCACAGAGGTGCAAGGAGTAGTGACATTTTGCCACCTCACCAGGGAAGGCATACTGAAAGTCAGCAAGTTGAAACAAACCACTGCTGGATTCAAGAGAACGAAGCCTCAGAACCCACATAATGAACTCCCCCAACTACAGTACAGTATGTAAACAAATTATCAAATCTCTCGAAACTAGTGTGAGCTCATTTGCCCTACCTCCCCTACTCGTTTGGTAGGAAAAGGAAGAAGGGCTTGTCACCTACCGGAGCCTAAGCTGTCGGTTCTGAAGCAGATGCATAAACAAGACCTACCTGATGACCTGGAAGGGAGGAGGGGGTTCCAGGAGTCACGGAGGCTTGCCCCGAAATTGGCATTTCATTACATTCAACACTGGTTTTCTGGGGGGTGCCCCCTTGTGACTTTCTGAGGCTAAATGCCCTTGGAAAAGGAAGAGCACAAGGGAAATAGACAGGAAGGAGGGAGCACCACAAGTTAGGATGAAGAAGATACTCCTGGATACTCCTCCTTCCCCCCTAACAATCAACAATGTTGATTGAAGTCTTTAATAATTTTCAGTTACAAAGAAAAGGAAATAACAGTTAGGTCAGAAAGAGAAACAAAAGAAGTAAAAGTAGTAGATAAAATTGTTGGGCTAGTGGAAGGCCTTTTACAATTAAAGATAATAAGTAATGGTAATGTTTTCTCACAGACAAATAATGTAGGATAAAAACACACACTTATGTATTTGTGTATTTTATGTATAGATTTGAAGTAAGCCAAGTCTTCTTGCACGAGTGCTTTATCCAGGTCTGAGTATATGGTTAGAACGAGACTTGCAGTAGCAACCGTATTAATGGTCAAGATGTAAGTCTTCAACCTAACCATAAATATACTCAGACCTTGATAAAGCACTCAGGAGAGTGCGAGAAGACTTGGCTTACTTCAAATCCTTACACATAATACAAAAATACATAAGTGTGGGTTTTTATCTTAACGCAGAAAATAATGTCTGTGACTACAGAAGAATTGATAGGTACGAAAAAGAAAAAGATCGGCCCTTATGGATTAAGTTGTCTCCAGATAAGACAACTCTGGCAATGGCAATGCAAGGGCAGTGCTAAGGAGCACACAAGGAAGGTAACCCTGAGCACATGCAGCTCCAAGCCCTCTACAAGCCAGGCTCATGCTACACTGTAAGTACAAGAGCTGTTTTTGGTTTTTGCCTTTGGTGGCCTTTCAACAGTGGAGCATGTACAGAAGAGAGGCAACCTGGGAACCACTATAGCAATCGGGTGACCCAAACCGTATCATTGTAGAAACTGACAGCTCAGACCCCTGGAGGTAGTGAGCCCCCTTTTTCCCTTCCCCCCCCAAATGAGTGGGGTAGATGGGGCGAAAAAGCTCACACTAGTTTCGAAAGATTAAGAAGAGTATGAGTACAAGTGTGGGAGTAGATTCAAAGGAGCAAAAGGAAACATGAAAAGCACGGAAAGCCATCTCTAGCATCACCCTTATATCAGTTCTGTTATATCTAGTGAACTAGATATATTATCTAATACAGTACTGTAATTCTAGATAATATATCTAGAATTAATCCTCAAATTATGTTACAATGTACCTGTGGAGAATTCTTGAATCTTACAGTAATGTACCTATTAATTTTCTTCAAATTTTCTTACAATGTATCTGTTAACATTCTTCAAATTTTTCTACACATTATCTACTTAAAATTATCTGTTAGATTAAGGACCTGCCTAAAATGTTATGTGTGTTAGCAGCTTTACAAGACTGTAAAAACATTAATCCTATGAACTCTCATAAACCCAAAATATTCTGAATAATCTGTTCACCAGATTAGATGAACATAAGAATTTCAGCAAAGCTGTGTTCTTTATATTAACAAATGGAAAAAGGCAAGCACAGTTCCAGTCTACAAATATGGTAGCATAGAAGACACCCTAAAATCATATACCTATATCATTAACAATTGTGGTCTCTTTTTGGCATTATGTTTATTCTTTTGAGATTCTTCAGCATTTCTTCAAGTGTTAAAGTTTTCATTATTAATATTCAAGTTTATTTCTATTTATTAAGTTACCTAAAATTATCAGGAAGGGGAATGGAAGTGGCGCGTGGGATTATCAGGATCACCAGATAATTTTATTCGTGTGAAAGTGACTGCCCAGACTCGTGATCCTACTGTCCACCCCATCACTACAAGGGCATGGGTGAGGACCTCAGTCATGATTGGCTCGTCTACTTGTTCCTTTCAAGGCTTAATCTATTGTCAGAAGAAACTTTTAGTATTATATCTTTATACTGTTCTAGAAAATATATAACACAGTATAAGCCTTAGTGCATTTGTTCCTCAGAAATTATTTAAAGTTAACAGAAAGACAGCTAAAGTCTGCAATTTATAATAAATAATTACCTAAGAGTAATTACTTAAGCCACTTCTCATAGGCTGCTTATAATTCTGTACACATCTTTTTCCTAAGTTATCTCATTACTCTCATTATTATGATATATTGTCAGATAAGCAGTGGTACCCGGGAAGTCAATGCCACAAGAGACAGAGTGATCATCTATGCTGAAGTTAAACAAGGAAATAACCCTGTTGTCAATGCTGATGTCAGGTTTGAGCGTCCCAACTGATTCTTGCTTTTGTCATGCAGATACAGATCAGATATTAGAAATTGCTGTAATACTGTATTTGTTTGTATACTAAAAAACAAATTATATAGTTTTTTTTTACACAAAATTATAATTTGAAATATGTATTGAATGGTACATTGTAGAGCTTTGGTAACACCACCTAGTGAGTTTGAGCCTGATCAAGAATACATACTTTTGGACAATGGTCAAGGAGCAGACATTCAATCTGGAGATGGTATATACTCCCGGTACATGACGCATTACTCTGCAACTGGCCGCTACAGTGTCAAGGCTCAGGTAAATTTTCGGCTAATTATTTTTTATTTAGGTACTTGATAATTTGCATGACTGTGATATTCCCTTAGTTTTCTGTTTACATGGTTGAGAGAAGGACAGTAACAACAAGAGAAACTAAAAAACTACATAATACAACGAGGCGTTCATTGCATTCATTGCTGGGTTTTTCTCTCTTTGGTTTGTTGCCTATTGTTTCTATGAAGGTATTTTTGCTTAATTTTGTGAGAAAGTGAGATACTAGCTGATTACAGTGTCTGATGAGCAATTGAGATTAGTTTTAAGAATGTGAGGCATTTACTGGTAAGAGTAGAGGTACTGGTAAGTACAAATGTAATTATATGCAAAGTGGCACTCGTAAGTAGAGGTACTGATAAATACTTTAACTCTTTTCACACAGGTTACAGATGGAGGAACAGCAGTTATTAATAGAGGTTTCCTCACTTCATCTCAACGTAAACGACGTTCAGCTGAAAATGATGAGGATTTTGAAGGTAAAGATATTTCTTGATGATTAATTTGTATAAAGGTTTTGGAAATTTATTTTTATTGCCCAACAAATGTTTTTAAATTCTTTATTTTTTCATTGTCTTTTCCCCTGCTTGTCTACATTATGGTTCTTTCTCGTGAATACAATAGCAGTATTTTCTATGCACATATTTTCCTCTGACACTATCAGGTTGTAAGTGTAAATTTGTGAGGTGAAATCTTAAAATATTTTTAATCTGGTTATAAAAGAGTATACAATCTTCTCAAAAATGATGATGAAGCCACTTACCCCTCATCCTTTCGACCTAACCAAACAATCTCCCCAGCTAAATTTTCCCTAAATAGAATTTATAGAACAAATTACCAGGATCTCACCTGATGTGGTATTACTGGAATGTTTCACGTGACGGTTAGACAATAATAATAATAATAATAATTTTAAATTTATGTAAAATACATCTGAAATATGATATAGTTACCATAGAACTATTACCATAGGGCCAACAGCAGGCCTACTTAGGCCTCCATGGAATAATTTCTTATTTTATTTAATTTTTTGGATACAGTATAGTACCACTTTGAGAAGGTGTTAGGAAACAACATACCAAAGTTATTTTGTCTACAGTTGACAATGTTACTCTCCTGACAGAAAGACCTGACTATTGCTGTGGAAGTCACATCCCCCTGCACCATAAAAATACTCAGGTCACTGGCACCTTCAACAGAATATCTGTCGCTGGGTCAGTTAAGGTGAATATTTTGTTTTTGAATTTTGTTGTAATTTATATAATTGTTCTTCCAGCAGTGTAATTTTTTCAGTAAATTTCTGTTGCTAAAAATCAGTCTTAGTTTTATCTTAATGGTACACTTAAAAATACAGTAATCTGGATTATATCTTTCACAGCCCAATTCAGATTATCGAGAAAACTGGATTTCTGGAAATTACCCATTTCACAATAACCACAGTACAGTGGTTAAAGGCACCAGCATGACACTGACAAGGGGCAACAGCTAAAAGCTCTAAAATCCACACCTGCTCTTTTTTTTCATCCATTGAGTAGTATATCCATAGACACTTAGAGATTAAAATACAGCTGGAAAAAATCTTCATTACTTATTGGTAAGAGGTAATATTTCAGAAACCACAGGCTTTGTCCCAAAAAAGACCACTAGAGATGGTGGCCTTCAGTCAAATAAAGATAATTTACATAAGATGCAGATAAGTGTACCATTTTCAATAGGTAACAGAGATTCCAGTGATAGACAATCAGCCTCCAGCAGCAGTAAGGGATCTTCACATTGTTCTCCTGGATGATATACAGACTGATACTCTCTCAAGTTTTTACAATGTCAGTCTCAGTTGGACTGCTCCTGGAGATGATCTAGATGTTGGTAATGGTAAGTGAAATTGGTAGTTTCATTTAAATTAAGAGTTTCTTTCATGTATGCAGTAACCATGAGAGCATAACATAATATTTATTATTAATACAATAAATTAAACTTACATTTCTTGATATTAACAACTCTTATTCATGCCTGTACTTTGTCACTTCAGCATCATCTTACATACTTCGTATGACAAAAAATAGAAGTGACTTGGCAGAGAAGTACTTTAATAATGCATCCAAGGAGACTCTAATCGACACGAGTGGGTACCCATTCGGTGTTGAAGCTGGAGAAAAAATTAACATAACCCTGAAACTATTCCTTGTAAGTGATGTTACGTTCTACTTGGCTCTTCGGGCAAAGGATGAAGCGGGAGGAGAAAGGTCAGTTTATCTAGAATTTGTATAGAGTGTATAGTGTTTACAGTTGCATATGCACCTGGCATTTATTATCTCCCTCTAGCATGGCCTTGTAAACATTATTTGTTTACAAAGCCATGAGCAGTCTTGTAAACAGACTGCTAAATTAATTATGCAGTTAGTTTGTGCAAAATATTTGGGACTAGGCTGAAGTTTAATAATTGGTTAAAATTGAGATTATTACATATACTGTACCAGAACTACTTAATAATTTGTAATGGTGCTTAAAAATGTAGGTAATTATATAATGTGTATATATATAGTGTAATGACAGAAAAAACAGTTGGTTTGATTGTTATAAGAATATAACATTCTGCCCATATTAGTGACTCAAATATATTTGTGCATACAGATGTTCCACATATTTTATTACATTAATTTCTCAAATAACACTATTGAATAATGTTTAATAATATATAAGTACAGTAATATTATTCAATATTACGAAAAAAAAAATGTAAACAAATCCTTGACTTAAAAATGTGTAAAAATATATTTGAGGCAACTCTTGCTACATGCCTGATCTGGGCAATTGTTGTTGGGCGATGGCTCCACGAACGCTCATAAACTGTGATGTCATCACAGGCTTTCTATGCTCCAACATGGTCAAAGTAAATGATACATTAAAATAATAATAAAAAAATTATATCAATGTATTTTTCATTTTAACTAGAAAGAAAAATATATTTTTTTTAATTTTTATCTTGCACACCTGTGGGTTGTTAGCTATAAACAGGTGTGCAGTCCTGGGGATTAAATAAATTTATATCATTACCATAAAAGTATGGTAATGGTATAAATTTCAGATGAAAAATTACATTACAATGAACAAATCCACAAGGGCCGTGAGGGAGGATTTCTGTGTATTGAAGTAAGGGCGTTGAGGTAGAATATCTGTTTGACCGAGGCCAGGTGCATGGGGGAAACCCTGATTGTGCTTCGGAGACGCTTCGGGAGCCTCGTGAGGGCAGTAGCACTTCAGGTTGCAATTCTTTTACTATGCCGTGGTACAGTTGACCAAGGCGCATCTGGGAACATCCTGTGCATAGGTTTGAACCCTCATCACAGCCCTTGTGGATTTGTTCGTTTGATATATGATGCAATTGTGATTTATGTGTGTACATTACAATACAGTATTTGTTTTTTAGTATTTACAAACCATAGTACATAAATGTATTGTAGATATATATTTTTTTCAGCCCTGTGTCCAATATTGCAGTACTACGATTAGAAGTTAACCATCATCTTCTACAGCCAGAATATCCCCAGCTGTTGCTGCCTGTTTGGGCAATAACACTGATTCTTGCCCTCTTGGTGCTGTTAATTATTTTTGTGTCAGTAATATTGGCATCAAGAAAGTATGGTAAATATGAATGTGTGCAAGTTGAAACTTGAGATACAAGATTCAGAGTGCCAGTTTTATTATAAATTTTATATTTTTGTTATATGTGAATACTGTATGATGTTAATGCTGTAATTTTTTAATGTAAATTTAACTTATGTTATATTGGTTGAAATACTGTACCTGTATATTGATAAAGGATGTATAAAATGCAATATATATAGTATATAATAACATAAATGTGCATAGATAGAGATCTTGATATAGGCAACCTTGTCATATTTGGACTCGTCAGAGGAAGGGGTCATTACAATATGATTGCTACATCTGCATTACTGCACACTTTTTTTTTTTTTATTTGCAACCCAGCCCCAATAACTTAAAATGGTCGTTTTTAAGATTTTTCTTGAAACGGTCTGAGGGGTGGCACCTTCCTTGGGTGTAAAAATTATATTTATTTCCTTTTTAATTTTGTTCAATTTTATGGTATGGACTAAGATATTAATCTACTGATAATATTTAAAGCTGCAACCAGGTCTCAGTAGTACAGTCGGGTTTATTCTCAACTCGCAGTTGAGAATTCTAGGTTCGAATCCTAGGCGAGTCAGAAATGGTTGGGCGCATTGGGGCAATAGGAGTTAGTAAAATAAAATAAATAAATAAATAAATAAATAATTATATATATATATATATACTGTATATATATCTAAGTTATTATGATTAGGTAGCATGTTGATATAAGTGTAAAGCTTTGATCACCCACCGTGATGGCTGATTGAGCAGCCATCAAGGCCCTGATCTGTTTTTTCCTATATTTATATATTTATCAAATATATCCATCATATTTATCAAATACATCATTCATGCAACTTAAGTATTAATAATGAGATAAAGCAATGAGTTTTAGTTTAAACAGTTAAATCCACTGTACTGTAAGCCTGCTACGAGAGGATGTGGCAGCACAGCATCAAGAACGGTCAAGCAGTACCTCGCTGTCTACCGACATAATATAATTGAATATTTTGTCTTCTTGCACTTATGTTTAAGACATTTCAAAACATAAGCGGTTGTCCCATCACTGAATTGTACCCATAATAGTCAAATCAAATACCGGACGAGTTTGAATACAGTATATTATACTAGACTTTTGAGTACAGTACAAGGTTGCCTGTATTTTTATATAAATATATATTACATGATTATACTTCAGAGTGAATTTGTGTAATGCTAAAAAAGGGCATGGAGAAAGTGTCCACTTTGAATACTGTATATATTTGTGTTAATTATATTATTATTATTATTATTATTTTTACTTAATGTACATTAGCTTTTAAGTTTTTTTGCAGTAACTTTATTAAAAGGTTAATCACTGATGACCTCAATACAGGTCAATTGCTAATCACTGATGTTCTCAGTACAGGTCAATTACCAATCACTGAAGACTTTTGTACATGTCAACAGGTTTTTTATATTGAAGTTGACAAATTGAATTGGTGAAATACCTATCATATGACCTCCAGATATCCAAGTAATCCAGTCGTGCTACTTTCTTAGACCTAAAATGGCTAAACTTAGTAAACTTAGTTCATGAGCTAGCCAGAAATGGGGCACACTGTACACACTCTATCATGTCATCAAGTTGCTCTTGACCATTGTAAAACAAATTTGTCCTATTGTCATGCTAATGATTTTTGCAAGATTATTATTGTAATTGTTTTCATAAGTGAGGCAGTAGTGCTAATAATAGTTCAGCTAACAATTCAGGAAATGATCCAAAGAAAAGAGTATATAAGCCCTACTGTAGTTAGTAATATTAAGCAGAATATTTCAATCATTTGAAGCACTGAACATGGATATCCTAGACTAAACATAAGCAGTGAGATAACAGTTCCACTGTTATCTTGAGGTTATCTCAAGATAACCTCAAGATAACAGTGGAAAAACAATTTGAGTTGAGATTTCAAGTCCAAGAGTAAATATAATGTTGCCTGTCTAGCAAATCTTAACTTGTAGATGTTCATGAAGTGGTTTTGGAGTGGAATAAGGGAAACATAAGTGAAGGTAGAGGCTATCCTGTGCCAGATTGGGTAATTTGTTTTTTGTTTTGTTTTGCAGTTTATTACATTCAGTGCTGGCTTTTTGGTAGAAATGCAATTTTATAGTGTAGTGGCTAGTGAAGTTAGCTCTCAACCTATTGGATCCAAGTTAGATTCCGGAGCATTTCCTTACATCTAATGTACTTGTTCACCTAACAGTAAATAGGTACAGTACTTGATATTTAGGTGATTGTTGTGTGTTGACCTGGAGAAGGTCATTCATTGGCCTAAGGAGGACTTATTAGAGGGACTGGTGATGGTGGCCTTCTATATATACTGTATTGAGTCTGTCTGGCAATCTAGATCATTTGCAAACCTGGATCAGAAAATAGAAAAAAATGCAAGAGGTTTACTAAATAAATTTCTTATTTTATCAAACTGTCATTATAAGGCTTTCAGAGGAAAACCATATATTTTGCAGCCAGTAAGGCACAAAATAACATCAGCATGAAAAATTGGCCTATATAAAAATTTACAAAACTGTATAGTTCTTAGATATGAGACATTATAAAACAAGTGCATATTATATCCTTCAAAACTGGCAGAAAATTTTGAATTGTATCTCCATTTCCTTGCAGGAGTCACTGGAGGTGGTAGAACACTCGTATTCAGCTTCAATATGTCTTAACGTTTGACATTTGAATATTTGAAGGTATTCAATGACCCTTTATGAGTGCGCTTAATTAATCACATGCACAAGCTTACTTTACTGCTGTTCTTGCTAATGATCTGTGCAGGAAACTGTGCTGGTTTCCTTCTTGTACTTTCCATTTTTAATTCAAAGGGTAATCAGTTATCTACTTAAGGTACTTTATCATTAAAGAATGTACTTTACTCGCCTAGTTGTGCTTGCAGGGGGATGAGTGAACGCTTCTTGGAACTCTTCAGAGTAGTCTGAGGAGTTATTGAAAATATTGTTCGTACTGTATTTAGCTAGGCATCACTATCACTATTTAATTGTTTTATTCTTTTTTATTTGTCATCTAGGGATATTTTTTTTAGATGGCTTACATCAGAAAAGCTTTTTTCTTGGTTATCATGTTCTTTTTCAGTTAAATTCTTCTTATATGGGCCTATATATGGCTTGATAATATCAGTGTTTAATAATTAAATTAGTCGTGAAATAAGCCCTGTTGGTACATAAGTGTCTGTGGAATTAGATCTACAGTACTGTACTTAAAATTTTGAATATGTAATTAAAAATATTTTTCCAAATAAACAGATTGGTTTAGTTAGCCTACTCAATGTATAGAAGGCTTATAAAACACCTCTCAGATGGCATTCATTACAAGATGTTTTGTCATTTACCACAGGATGCTTTCAGTATTTGCTGGGTACAGTATTTAAAATTATGTTTGGATGACGAAGTCTGTCATTTGGACAGTGGCCAGCACAGTCCCAATGTGCTGGCCACTGTGCAATCATAATACTTGTATTCAAGTCCCAAGTTAATCCCAGCAACAGGACACATACATTTCTGCACCATTTCCTTTCAACTCATGCCTCTGCCTACCTAATAGTAAATTGATACTCGGAAGTTAGGTTGCATCCTGGGGAAAATCTGTATTTGGCCTGGGAGACCTCAATGAGCCTAAACAGGCTTAACTTTCCATAGCGTTGGGAAACCATACCAAACACCAACCCTGTTCACTGCTTGGCTTACATAGATGATTTAATTGTATATTATTACTGACAACACAATTTAGCACAGCATCCTCAATGCAAACAGCACTCGCCCTCTTCACTGACTAGACACAATAATGAAAGCAGAAAATCAGCAACAATATAACATGTTTCCAAATCTTCATTAAAAAATAATTGTTGAAAAGCCCACCCCTAATGATAATGAGAACACTACTACCTTAGAATGCACTTTGATTCTCCACTCCTTACCCAGAGAACCCACATAAGACATCTGAAATAAGCCGCCCAACCAAAACTCTCAATCTTTAATGCCCTCAGCACTTCCTGGGAAGCACACCACAAAATACTGCTCTGCTTCTAAACAACAAACACTCAAAGTCAGCTCGACTACTGTTGGCAGGCATATATCATCTGCGGCAATGACTAGCCTCCAGAGACTGCAAGTCACTCAAAACATTGCCATGCTCGCTGAATTAGCATCAGTGGCGCACTGTGTTCATTTCCTACACCTAATCCTTCAAGTGGGACAGTTCTCATAAGTCAAGCCACAGGAAACGACAGTGTGTACAAACTATCAGGCTTCTGCTGCGGTGCACACTCAACACATCCCTGCCAACCAAAATTTAACCTGTAAAACCCTTGTATACTCACCACCCATCCTCAACCTTTCATTTATATTTAAAATTTTAGCAGGAATTATCAACAGATATGTGTAAAGTATGTGAATTAGATGTTATGTCATCACAGTGAAACATCTGAAAAAAAAATTAAATATTTATCAAACCCTGTAAGAGATGAGTAACCAACAGAGCTAATTACTGTATATGATATTTTGATTTAAAATTACCTAACATGGTAACTAGTGCTGTTGGTTAGTAATCCATCCATGTATCTGACCATTCTGTTTCTGTAATAAATAAATGACTCATAGTATTTACTACACATAATGTTTCCAATTTGGTTTTGTAACTTCATTAGGTGGAAAGTTGAATATAATACAGTAATGTACAGTAACCATGAGGACTTAAGAAAATACTGTATATTAAATAAGCAAAAATAAAAAATAATAGTTCTTAATTTCTAACTTATTATTACAATCTATAAGTGCTGTATATACATATATATGACAACTATAAATACTTAGTAGATATAAGGTATGTCATGACTAATCTTCAAATGTTTGTACAAAGACAAACTTTTACTGTAAAAAAGTCTAAATCAGTTTTGGTGAGTTAAGTTACCAGTTTATATTGTAAATCTTTTTCTGACTATTATTATTTCTGCCAAAGAAATTGATTAATACTGCAATTGCTCGGTAATTCCAATTCCAGTAACCCAAATATCCAAATACTGTACAGTAATCTGAATAAATTCCTGTTAGTGTTTAAATTGAACCCAAATAGGAATTTGGATTACTAAAATTTCTCCCAAACAAAAACCTGAATAAATTAAAAAATTGAGTTCTTGACCTCAGTAAACCAAATTTTTATTTGTATAGAAATTCCTGCAGAACATCTAATCTGAATAAATTTGAGTTTAAGTGATTGACTTCTCAATTCAAATAGAAATTCGGGCCACTGAAATTTCTACAAAACAAAAACCTGAATAAAGTCATTTTTTTCAAGTTTTTAGATTCCCAGTAAAAAAATTTTGGATAACTCTAATGTCCTGCTAATTTAAATGTAGATGGGTCCCATATAATTCAGATTACCGAGTCTAGACAGTACTGTACTTTTTATATAAATATAATGCTGGTAGTGGAAAGGCATTTACCATATATTATAGCAGTTATGCAGGTGTGAACACTGTATAGGTAAATGAATGAATGACATTGTTTATTGAAGTAGCACAATGAAATAAACATCAAATAATTTGGATTTTTTTTTAACTTTTTAATAATACCACTGGTTAATGATTTAATTCTTTAACATCAATCTTGCTATATGATTAGACATTACAGTACCTTATGCCAATACAGTATATTGAAAAGTTAGCTCAGATATGCAATGAAGAAAAACAATACTAAACCCACACACTATAAATAGGAAAAGTGTCAACATTTCATTGCATTCTAGACTATTATGGAATAAGGGCAGTTGTAACTTAATAATGGTCCTGAATTGACAAACTTTGTCACCGACTTTCCAATTTCTAATTTGTAGTTTGAGTATTCACTTATTCTAGCCATGTTACTTGAAGTAACACGTTAGAAAGAGGTTACAGTGGACCTTTAAGTGAGGTGCCTTACTTTCACCTCATCCTCAGGTACATATCGTGCAGCAAGAATCTTTGTAATCATTTGAACTCTGCCTTTGGCAATGTTAACAAGAGTGAGCGACACTCTTCACTTAGGGTCAGGCCAAATAAAACTGTAAAGATGAACTTTGGAGAGTTAATTTTTCAATTGTTACTCCTGTTCACAAGGTGGTACGGGGGACTGTGGGGTAAACAATAGGGTTTTATTTATAATAGATATTTACTAACCCACATGTCAGTTCACCCTTAAGTAGCGGACAGGGCTCTCCAAAGGTAACTGGAGTAAGAGCTCCCAACCTGGCTGGTGCCAGCCTGGCCCCCCAGGAAAGTATTCCAAAATCTGTCAGTCTAGAGTGATGGCAGCCTCACCAGGCCCATTGGTTAATGATTAATTCTTTAACGGTAACATTTATTTACAATCATTCCCACACCCACATAACAAAAGTTCTTGCTGTTGAAAGTTACTTTACTATCCTTTACTCTCCTTGTAATAGGAGTGGAGCGAGTATATTATTGGGATAATCTACTCGCTACAGTTGAGCGCACTGAGCGTCGGTACAGTATCTCGCAAGTGTCTGCTCTAGACCACACTTGAAAGTAGACTAGCCAATGTTCGCTACACCGCTGCTTATATGCTCGGGCAACACCTCACCGTGTTGCCCAGGCAACGCCTCACCTCATTCATCTCCAAAGGTTGACAGGAATATTAACAATGCATTTGGAGCGAGTATATTATTGGGATAATCTACTCGCTACAGGAGCATGGACTCACATAAGGCAATACTAGAACATTAATCAAACACAAAGTAGCCGTTACACTTTACCAGTAAACCATATCCCCCATACACTGTATATTCTCTCAAAGCACTCTAGATGAGCCTAGAGGGGTCTGCAATTAGCATTTAAAATTCTCATACAAATTGTTTAGAAAAGGTTCTGAAGTATTCAGAAAGATTCAGAAGTTTGAAAGAAAGCTTGTCCCAAAATTGTGTGGGATGCGTTATGAAGAGAGACTGAAGAAACTAAACCTAACGACACTAGAAAAGAGGAGAGAGATAAGGTACATATAAAATCGTTATGGAGGGATTGACAGATTGAAAAGAGGAAATGTTCGCGAATAATAACAATAGAACACGGTATTGTTCTACCATCTACCAAACACCAATAGAACAAGTTGGATGTTAACAATAGATGGAACTTAAGAAACAGACAAGCCACAGAGAAGTGAGAAAGTTTTTTTTTTTATTGTAAGAGTAGTGTGAAAATGAACTAAACTAAAGAAGCAGTTTGTAGAAGTGAATTCCATTCATAATTTTAAAAGTAAATATGATAGGGAAACAAAGGGAAATCTCCGAAACCTCTTTATCAATGGCTTTGAAAGTTCGACAACGTTGCATTCGAATAAGCGTGTGATTTTATATACCTACTATATACATGCCACACCTGTGACAGGTAAAAAATGTTCTTTTTTTAAATCAGTGCCATCTGTTGTACGTAAGAGCAAGATATGCTGTAATCTCCGAAAGTTCTTCAACGATTGATTTGAAATTTTGACACAGTGTTCCATTCGAATATACGCATGTTTTTATATACATACTATATAGATGCCACATCTGTGACAGGTAAAAACGTTTTTTTTTATAAAACAGTGCCATCTGTTGCATGTAAATGCAACACACTATACTAAATATGTTACGATTCCATTTCAATGTTTCTGATTGCACTGATAAATTGAATTTTCAGATTTTTATTTATTTTCATTTTAATTTAATTATTTTGTGTGACCGCGTTGGAATCGAGCAGTGTTGTTTACCATACTGTTCATTTCGTAAGTACAGTATAGTTTATTTTTGTATATTTTTTCCACATCGTTTTTTTAACTGTTCTTATTTTTCAGTGATGGGAAATTAGATCATTTGATGTTCCCATTTTTCTGATGGGAACATCAGATCATTTGGGAACACATTTGACGAGGGAGTGGGGAATGGTGGGGGAGGACAAGGGGATGGGAGTGGGGGATGATGGGGAGGACAAAGGGATGGGAGAGGGGGTAATAATGGTGGGGAGGACGAGGGGATGGGGGATGGTGGGGAGGACGAGGGGACAGGGGAGGGGGAAATGGTGGAGAGGACAAGGGGATGGAGGAGTGGGGAAAGACAAGGGGACAGGGCAGTTGGGGAGGACGAGGGGACGGGGGGGGGGACCAGGGGAAAGGGGAGGGTTGCTGTGGCTCCGCAACGTGCATGTATTGCTGAGCCACAGCAACCGTGTGGCTGGGTACAGCTAGTTTAGAGATAAATCGTTTTTTCTATCTAAACTTACGCTAATGAAAAAGCAGTGTAAAGAATAATAACAAACAGTAAGAAAAGCAGTTATGTATCAGCAAAAAGACCTACCATTAATGTATAATGATTAATTTTAAATACATAGCTACTGAAACAATCTCTGTAACTAGCTGATATAATTATAAGGTGTACATGACAGATGTAATTGTTAATGTAATAATCTCCGTTGAGGTCTGATAAATACAGTTTGTGCCCTTTGTAATTCTTTTTGCGCTACCGCTCACAGGATGAGTATGGGGTGCACAATAAATTAGTCCCGGCGGCAACAATAAAAAAAATCCTGACAGATGATGACCTTTAATTCGGTAGTCTGCACCGATCTACTTTTGTCTCCCTAATAAACGATGTGTGCTTTAAATCAGTTGCCTTGCTACTGCAAACCAAAAATACCATAGACATCCACAGGTGGAAAGTCTTATTGTGAAAAAGACCTGCCCGAAACGCTGTGCGTACTAGTGGCTTTACAAGAATGTAAACACATCATGCTATGTACTCTCATAAACACAATGTAACTTCTTGTATATATATAAACTATATAACCTTGCATAATAAAGTGTACACCAAAAAAAAATGGGGGGGGGGGTGGTAGGAGAAGCAAACACTCATACATATTCAGGTTAAATGGCAAGTTTATGCTCTGTGTTCCCTTCTTTAAGGCTGTGGGTCCCTATAATTGCACCAGAGGTGGTACCTCCCTATATATAAATAAATGAATAAATAAATGATAAATAATTTATGATGCGCGGGCCGTGTGTGTCGGCGCGCAGGCAGCCGGTGACGAGGCTCCCGAGCCACCGGCCGTCAGTGCTGCAACAGACGTGGTGGTGGGTGCATACGCTCTCTCTCGAGGGGGGGGGGACTTAACTGAAGTGTCGCGCACGGATTACAAGAAGAAAATGAATTGTGCTTATATCTAATATATAAATAGTAAAAGGTGAGATTTATTTGCTTAGTTGTCTCTTCCACCGTTGTTCCACGGGAATTTTGATTTATTTTAATGTATTTTTAGTGTTTCAAAAAGGTTCGTGCTCTCGGCAACCTGCGCTTGGTGAGTTGAAGCTTAATTTATAAGTACATTGATTCAACTTTTCGCTCATTATACTGGTAAAGATGTGGCTTTAATGTCACTGTATTATTTAAACAACCGACGGTAGGAGTTTTATAGCTGTCAATGAACGCATTTGGAGAAACAGGTTCCAGACCAAGTATCAAGTGTAGGATGTTCTTCAAGACCAGTATCTTTGATTTTTTTTGTTCCCCCCCCCCTTCCTTGAGACGTGATTCTTGTCTAACAGAAAACGGATAACGAGTTCACAGGAATACTACACGAACTAACGAGTTCACGAATACTAACGAGTAACGAGTCACCGGAATACTACACGAACTAACGAGTTCACAGGAATACTACACGAACTAACGAGTTCACCGGAATACTACACGAACTAACGAGTTCACCACGAACTAACGAATTCACCGGAATACTACACGAACTAACGAGTTCACCGGAATACTACACGAACTAACGAGTTCACCGGAATACTACACGAACTAACGAGTTCACCGGAATACTACACGAACTAACGAGTTCACCGGAATACTACACGAACTAACGAGTTCACCGGAATACTACACGAACTAACGAGTTCACAGGAATACTACACGAACTAACGAGTTCACCGGAATACTACACGAACTAACGAGTTCACAGGAATACTACACGAACTAACGAGTTCACCGGAATACTACACGAACTAACGAGTTCACAGGAATACTACACGAACAGATTTGTGTTTCTGTAGTGGGGTCAAGCAGGATGATTCTGGTTGTAATTTTCTGAGATTGCAGCCGCTCGTCTGATCCAGCAGACTCTGCTTCCCCCCCTTTGACCCAGTTGACTCCAGGCCTTCGCCCGGTGCAGTTGACTCTGGGCTCTTGTCATATTTACATTGTAAAATATGTATGGAGTCTGCCTCCGCCACATCATTGCGTAGTGTATTCCATTTGTTAACTATCCTGACACTGACAAAAATATATTTCTAATGTCTCTGCGGTTCCTTTTGAGTTTCAAAGTTTCCACATGTCCCCTTGTTCTGGTTCCTCACATACTACTAAATAGTTTCTTTATCCACCTTGTCAATTCCTCTTGAGATTTTTGTAGGTGGTGATTATGTCTCCCTTAACTCTTCCGTGCAATTGACTAGGCCTTCACTTGGTGCAGGTGAGCATATGTAGGTGGTGACGGGGTCGTTAACTAGCCAAGAGGTTACCAATGAGGAACTTATTAAACAAAACAATGAGTCAAACTCTGGACCAGATGAAGTGTTTGCCAGGGTGCTTAAAGACTGCTTCGAATCAAAATCAAAATGCTTCGTGAGCCCCAGTCTTACACATTTAATAAGTCACTAGAGTTAAGCAGGGTTCAGGGCTCTGGTAATACTAGTTCCCAGTTATCAACTGGACAATGTGGAAATTAAGAAGTCTGAATGCATGGACGATCTACGAGTTGTGATGAATCTAGAGCCAAAACAAAATCTTTCATAAATGTATGGTATAAGGCAAATATATGCTGGAATTTATTTCTGGAAGCATTAGCAACAAGACATATTGGCCTTAAACCGTAATGAGATAAAGCAGTTCAGTTTTGGCCTCTTTGCTATTCAGTGTACTGTGTATAAATTTTCTTGAACGCGTCGAGTAGAGTGACAGAATTAATCTCAAGAATTGGAAACCTTCATTATGAAAAGATTTAACAAAGCCTAACTTACATTCTCTAGAAAGTCGGAGAGTTTGTCACAGAACTGAAGCACTGTATATAAATGCATAAAAAGGGTATACTTAAGGTGGGGTGTAAGTAAGATTTTAAATATATCGGCATGAAATAGAAACATTGGTTCGAAAGAATTCAAGTTTAGTTTGTTTGGATTGATGCCTAAAAAGCATCGATCTCTTTGGACAAGGCTACCATACCGCTTGGTATATATTTTAGAAATCATACTGCGGGAAATATACTCAGACAATTCAAAATCTCTTATAATCTATATAGGCTTTCGAAATGGACTAATGATTGGCAGTCTAAAGCTGAAAATGTAAGATTCTGAAGTTTGGTAATGATATTTACCAGATATCAACTTGATAGCGTTGAAATTGCTTATCATGACTTGTGTGAAAATCTGGTAGTGATGATTAGTAGGATCTAAAGCCATAAAATCAATAAATATATGTTTAGAATAAACCAAATAGGATATTGGATGTATATTTAGACGAGTTAGCAATAAAATTACAATCCTGGTCTTGTCGATCTCATTTAGATTATTAGTTCAATTTTGGTCGGCATGCAATAGAATTTACATAAATTGACCTGAACGAATACAGAGAAGGACGAGTTGACCCTGGAATTAAACCTTTCATTTGAAGATATAAGAGTGAGAGTTAGTTTCCATTCTAGAGAAAGGCGAAGAGTACGGGGAGACATGGATGAAGTATACAAAGGGATAAAAGGGACAATGAAATCACATTAATGGGGTGTGTATAATTAGTTTTGATATACATCTCAAATTATATCAAAACTAATTATACCAAACAATATAGAGATGGATCCAAATAAACTGGTTGCTACAACCTGCATCAATAAATGTTATACATTATATAGAGAAACTAGGATAATATAGCTTAATCAGTTGTAATACCAACGGTTAATCACTCGGTGGAATCTCGTATAGACCTTTTTTGGCTTCTTTATTCTAATCCATTTCCTTAACGGCTCACATGAGGAGTGGAGGTTTACCATTAACTAGTCGCGTTGGCACCCAAAAATTAAATGATTGCCCGTCAGTATGTAAAGTAAAATTATATAAACAAACGGCTGTTGGGGGCAATAACAGCTGTTTGTGCACGGTGCCTCATAATTATCGCTAGATCGCCTGTGTCCTACATGGCCACATTTGTAATTGGAAAGGATTTTGATCAAGTTCAGGACGAGAGAAGGGACTGGTGAAAATATTATTATTTTGTTTTCAGAAATTACCAGTGGTCAGACCACAAGAGCTAGGCTATCACAAAAACAACCTAATGATGCCTCCAGTACATTCGAATTCAAATTCAAAATTCACATTTTTATTCAGGTAAACGTACATACATAGAAGATGAGTTACAAACATAATGTTGGATTTATAGATAGAGCTAGTACATACAATACCTAAAGTCATTAATATGCATAGCGTTTCGGGCAATCGTCCCTAATGTACTGCAACCATAGATACGAAAGAACAGGGAGATTTTCCTCCATAACTGCCTCTACCCTCCCCACCACCACCCGTCTCCTGGGTATCATGTCTGTCTCCACCTAGGCCAGGCTGAGCACACCTGCGGGGCCTTCGGAACCCAGTCTCCTGCGGACAATATGAATAACAAAAGACTCAGGGTCTGCCCTTCGCCGCGGTTGACATGCTGATGATCCGCACTGCTGGCCGCGTTTTGGGTGTTAAACCGCCACTGCCTCGGTCGTGTGTGATGTTGCGGCAGTGTGTGTGTGATGTTGATGGTTTAAACAAGTTTCAGCAAGCTATGAAGGTTTCTTTCTGGCATTATCTGGTAACTCGTGCAGGAAGTGTCGACCGAGGGTTGTTTTATGTATAGACAGGAAATAACAGGAAGTGTGTGTGTGTGTGTAAAATGTATGTGGGGATGGGGGAGAGATGTGTGTATCCGTGACTCTGAATGATAGTGTTTGCATACGTATCTACTGGCAGGTTTTGTGTGCGCGCTTGGGGGAGGAGCGGGGCTGACGTAAGTGTTCCATGCGCCCAAGGCTAAACTTAACATTTGCACTCCAGTTGTATTCTGTACCGTGCATCCTCCTGGATATCCATCACGCTGCCAACCAACAAACTGTCCTATTCCCTCACAATAACATCTATCTGCTTGCTGTTTATTATGATTTATTGTTTGATGTAATAATAACAATGTACGAATACAATATGGAACATTATCACAGTAAACTTTTATCGTTCTCCACTTCCCTTTCGCCTCTCCCTGCAACCTGTCCTCTTACAAAGAACGTCGCATTTCGATCGTATCCTGTACACAAGGCCAAAAATTGTCGTACTAGAAAATGGAAGCGGCTCACTAAAGTGACATACTGTTCCGTTTACTGTTTTGAGTCCTCTGCTAGGTTAGGAAAGGACACTTTAATTTGATAGTTTTCTTAACATAGGGAAACATTAGGAGGACGGGCTGCTTGCTCCCTGACCATCAAATTTACTGGCATGGCAGATAAAATGGTTATATTTACTACGCTCAAAGAAATGGCTAATAGGGATAACAACACAAAGGACTAGAATTTGTAAGACAATTGGTAACTTTTGTCCTTAATTGTTTCCCTAAATAAATGACAAATATACATTTTGTTGAAATGCGCCCTAGGCGACTGCCTAGTGTGCGTGTGGGGGCGTGTACAGTCACGAGAGAGTGTGTGTGTGTGTGTGTGTGTGTGTGTGTGTGTGTGTGTGTGTGTGTGTGTGTGTGTGTGTGTGTGTGTGTGTGTGTGTGTGTGTGTGTGTGTGTGTGTGTGTGTGTGTGTGTGTGTGTGTGTGTGTGTGTGTGTGTGGGCGGGGGGAGGGGTGAGAGGCCAGGAGTATGGAGGTGTAGATACACAGAGAACACTCGCCACCACACCATCCCCACAACAGCAGTCGCTCCGGGGCAGGTGATTACCTAGATTGTGCTCTAACCTTACACTTATTACGCTGTTGTTGTTTGTTTACAAATGTTTGATGACCATGACAAACGTCACCACACCGGAGAACAAGAAATGGACGCAGGAATATATACCCTAAGCTACTGCTGTCGACCGAGAAAGATGCATGTATTCTCACAATTAGACTGCATGAAAATGAATGCTTAAGCTTCAGTTTACTGGGAATATTAGAGATTATT